ACTCTTTTAGTAGTGAGTGCTGCCCTTCTTAATGACTAAACCTGTCTTTCTATTATATCGTTGAAAATATCACCAAATTTTCTTTCTCTTAGTACATGTGATGACGGCTTGTTACCATCAAACTTTTTTTCTCTCATCCTCTAAAAATCACACATTAAACCTCTTTGTTTTTTTTACTTTAATTTTAGTTTATATTCTTTTGATTTTTAGTTTTTGTTCCATGTCTTTTTATAAAAGTCTTATTTATTTTTAATTTTTTTCAATTTGATGCCTATTTTTTTCATTTCTAATTTTTTTTCCCATGTTTTCTTATAGAAGTTTTATCGGTTCTCAATTTCATCATTTAATCCAAGTTTTTGGTGCATTATTTTTTTAAATTTGATCCTCATTTTTTTTATTTTTTTATTTTGTTAAATTTATTTTCCTTTTCAATTTAACTCTCCAAGAAATTTTTTTTTGTTACTCTCTAATTTATTTTTTATTTTGATTTTCAACCTCATTTTTTAATTACTATTTTTTTATTTCAAATTTTTTTGTGTAATGTTTTTCAATTTATCTTTCAACATTTAATAAAAAAACCCTTAATCAACCAAATATTGAAAGATAAATTGAGAAAAAATTAATTAAAAAATGATACAAAACAACTTGAATTAGCTTAGGCTAACCCATTAACCTTGCGACCTAAGTCATGAGGTGGATATAACTTGATAAAAAACAAATCAAAATAAACCACAAAACTTAATTCTTAATCAATTCAATATTGAATGATGAAATTGAGAAAAACAGTCAATTAAAAAAAACTTAAAACAACTGATTTAACCCGTTAAACCCACAGTCCAAGTCATGAGGCTAGAATGACCTCATAAGAAGAAAATTAAAAAATATATTATAAAATCCAATCTTCAATAAATCTAATATTGAATAATAAAAATAAAATTGAAATTGAAAAAAAAACACTATTATAATGAATAATATTTTGTGAGGAGGGATACCATAAAATCTCCTTCTCTTTTAGTTCTTTGTTAACCAGGTGTTGAAAAAAAAAATAACAAAAGGATGCGGAATACAACTCAAGTAAACTTAGGTTAACCTGTCAAACTTGTGATACGAGTTATAAGATTGGGATAAACTTATATAAAACAAACAAAAATAAATCATAAAGTTCAATTCTCAATCAACTTAATGTTGAATGATGAAATTAAGAAAAAAAAAAGTCAATTAGAAAAAATCGAGTCAATCAAGTTAACTCGTTAAACCCGCGATTTGAGTCATGAGACTGAAAGAAAGCCATGAAAAGCAAATTATAAAATGATAGGATTAAAGGCCCTGTTCTTTCATCAAAAAGCATAACATTCAAGGCTCAAGAAGTTGGTGCATGACTTTTTTTAAACCCTATGCTATAAGGGGGTCTATCTCAGAGATTGAGCAAATTGTCCTAAGATTTCTTCCTTCTTGGAAAAAAAAATGATTAGCATGCTATATTGCATTCACCAAATATAACATAAACATATATGATGCTCATTGTGATAATTACTTTAAATGGAAAAATATAGATAAAAATTACTTTTTTTCATTGCTTTTAACAAAGAGCAAAACACTAATTAATGCAACTAGAAAGAAAATCTCATCACCATCTATGATTAAAAGTTTGCTCAAATACTGGATCTATATTTGAAATTTCAGATGTAAAAATCATATAAGCAAACAATTTAGCTTGAACATAATCTCTATATTTGAAAATTTACTCAGATTCTAAATATGTTGGACATAATATTAATATAGAAGAGATAAAACACCTGTAGAAGTAGCACCAACTGGAAGTAACACCAATTTATTCGATGAACCCTCTATTAGGAAACAAAGCAATTTAGCTTTTCGGTGTTAATAGATCTCTTTGTTGTTCAAAGAAAGAAATTAGAGCACAAGCTTTAACTTTTCTTTGTTGTTAGGCATAATGTTAAATAAAATTGATATATTTAAGTCAGGTCTCACTCGGGTTTTCTAGATCACTTAGGTCATAGGTCGACCGGATTTGATCATTTCTTTGTTCTCATTGGCTTTTTACGTTATTCGAATTGGTCTAACCACATGGTTAACTAGATTCCAGATCGATTTGTTGGGCTAGAGTGAATTTAATAATTATAATGTTAGTTTGTCTAGTTATTTAAGTTGAACTTGCTTGAATTTATTAGATTTTTTTTTTGTTAAAAGCTCAATATACATATATTGTCCTTTGTTTTGCAACTAATTATGTTATTTTAATTTTTGTTTGTTTGATGATGTTTAGAAACAATTTTCTAGTTTTCTTATAGCATTTGTTGCCCATCTACCTCTAAAGAAACCTTTTGAAATGAGCATATGCTACAGAACACTTAACTTTTGAACATGTGATGACATCAATTTTAAAACTATAATCAGAACAAGATTTAGAAGTTTTTGGTAATGCGGTAAATATTGCTTTTAAAAATATTTTTTACTTGAAAATATATTAAAATAATTATTTTAAAATGCATTTTTAATTCAGCACATCAAAACAATTTTAAAACACTGAAAACAATTAATTTAAAATAAAAAAATAAATTTTGATGTAAAGCAGATCTAACCTCAATACCAAATATCTTATTAGATGATGAATTAAGAGGATTAAACTTGGGGAGATTTTAGAAAAACAAATTCTTAAATAAAGTTTAATAATTTTTTTGACTGTTCACAAATCAACTTGAATTTTTTATTCAATTAGAACAAGTTAATCATTTCTTTTTTTTTTTTTTAAGTTAGGCCAATCCAAGCTCTAGGTTAGTCGAGTTTTGAATTTACCCACTAGTTTTGGGTTTACATGGCCACTTAGAAAGATATAATGTTTAATTTATTTTTAAGCTCCAAAAATAAATCTAGGCCAAGCATATTATGAGTTCTCTCTCTTTTTTTTTTTTTGTCAAAGGTTTTATTCCTAATAAAGCTTTTCGAGTTATTTCCTATAATGACATGAATTTGCTTGTATAAGATAAATAAAAATCAACAAACTTTTTTTTCAAGAAAATATTATGATTAAAAATTATTCAAAATAAAAATATTGTATAAAAAATAGTGTTTTTAAAGGTGTTATTGCAAACTCATTTTTCAATCAAGAGGTTGTTTGAGAGTAAGTATCAACTTGCTTTTTACCAAAATTTATATTTTTATATTTTTATATTGTTTTGATGTGTTGATATTAAAAATAAATTTTAAAAAATAAAAAAAATATTATTTTGATGTTTTTCTAAGCAAAAAATATTTTAAAAAGCAACTGTTATTATACTCCCAAACTCTCTAATTTTACAACCATTTCCAATATCAAAGCTCAAGCTCAAGAAAATTGCTAAATTTATTTTTTAATAACAAAACTAAGAAATTATTCACCTAATAGTCTTGAGATAATACTAAACTTACTAAACTCGCAACATGTGCTTTATAGAGATTAGATAAAAATCTAATTATTAGATTAAAAATACAAGCATCGCTATTTATTTTGGCACGCAATACAATATTTGAAATGAGAATTAAAATCTTGATTAGTGTATTAGAACAAATTAATCAACGACCATGTATATTAATAAATAAAAAACATTCCACTGCACCTGGATTCGAGTCCTGGCGTGCACGCCTGTCACCCCCGCGGTGCCTTACATGCCTACTGGGTTTGCAGAGTATTTAGTGGGTCATGGGGATTAGTCGTGGTGCGCGCAAGTTGGCCCGGACACCCCACGTAAATAAAATAAATAAATAAATAAATAAATAAATAAATAAAAAACATTGGTATGACTCGTTCAACTTAATAAACTAAAAGCAAACTAGTTGTCCAATTCAAATCATGATCTGGTTAAAAAAATAAATTCAAGTCATCATCATTTTTAATATTTTCTTAACCCTAGATTAAATGTGAAACAATAAATTATCAAATAATTAAATTTTCAAAACAATTCAAGGAGTAAAATGAAAAGATGGTGACAATGTTTGTTTTTTTATTTGAACAATTTGTTTTTTTATTCTTTTCTTGGATGAGCCTTCATTAAGTTTTAACTTAATTAAAAATATGAGTTTAAAAAAAAAAGGAAAATCAAGAAAACTCGTGTGGTTATTCTAGACCCTCATTAATCATCTAAACTCACAACTTATTAAAATTCTAAACTTGTGTTTAATAAAAAAAACCTAATTTTCAACCAATTTAATATCCAAAAATGAAATCTAGAAAAAAAATTCAATTAAAAATATTTTCCAAAGCAAATATTCATATTCATAGACATGATTGCATTGTGATTTGATTATATTCATAGAAATCTACTGGTGTTGCGTATTGATTATATTCATAGACATGGTTATGTGCAGTGTGAGTTTGAAGCCTAATAACATTCTACTCTTGTCAAGTAGAAGGGGTGGCAATAGCGCTGAATTTGTGCCAAAGATTGGGGATTTTGGTCTGAATAAGAAAACGAAGTCCGATCGTTACCTCAGAGGGACTGCTTTGTATACGGTACCGGGGTCCGTGATTGATCATGTCCAAGAGGCTCCCTCTGACATATGGGCTCTTGGTTGCATAGTTTTCGGGATGCTTACAGGGAAGCCAGTCCGGAATTTGAAGCCTGAGGCCACTACTGAAGAACTCCTGAGAAAGATTGGTGACGAATTGCCTGAAATCCCTCCTCAGATCTCCAAGGACGGAAGAGATTTCTTGAAAGGATGGAAACCTGAGTTCAGATCGATTGACTGCTGAGATGTTGCTGGACCATCCTTTTGTGTCGGGATTGCAGTTCTTACCATTCCTAGCTTTTCACTGAAGAACGCGCACATGGATTGCAGTTCCTCATTCTGGATGCCATCTGCAGAGATAATCACTAAAATCCAGTTGATCTAAAAAAACCGTTGATCTTAGAATGAAAATTCTTATCACTGAAATCGATTCTGAGTTCACAATATTTCACATGAAGAATATCTGTGGTGATATAGAATCAAAAAAGAGAAAAAGAAAAAAAAGAAAAGATCTCTCATCAATTCCAAGCAGGTCAGGACACACATCTGGTGGGCTCGCCGAAGAATGGCACAAGCAACTGGAATTATTGCTGCATTAACTATATTATAAACAATACAGAGGAAAAAATTAAAACCTTCCTTCTTCGCTCAGGGGAAACAAAAAAAAATAAAAATAAAAGAAATATACAAGGAAAAACAATCTGCAATTCCCCCCTCAGCACGGCTAACTTTCCTACTTCCTACTTGCATTCTTGCGTTTGCCGTCAACTGGAGTGGCCTGCCTTCTATTCTGTTGTAGGGGAACTCCACCTCCATTTGCCGACTTTCGTGAAGGTGAAGGGCCTAGCGAGGGATTAAAGTTCTTGCTGCAGAATTTGAAACTTGTAAGAGAAACTTGCGAAAATAAATTAATGGATAGGATTTGACCAACACCAAATCACATCTACAGTACCTCAACTCTGGATTCCTGGCTGCTTTTGAAATTGCTTTGCTAGTTTTTGAATCAATCCCATTTGTTATACCGGTGAACTTGGACTGATTGAATTGCCAGAGCAAATCAGGTTCTGATGAATCACTGGTGGCAGCATCAATATCGTCCATGTCGTCATTATTAGCAAGGTTGATCTGGTTGTTACCCGCGAACAAATTATAGGATTGTTCTGGGTAAATTTTTGAGGAGTCTGAAAGATACTTCTGGTAAAAGGCATCAGGCAAATTGCCATTTTCTGCATCCCAACATCCTAGAGACTTTTCTACTCTGTTTATAGCATCTTGCTTGTTCACCATGACCTTATCTACCCACTCGCCTGAGCCCATTTCCTTCTCATCCTCAGCATACTTTTGACCAGGGCTAATGACTGGAGGCCATGGAGGCGAGTTTGCTAATATCTCATCAAGATCGAAGCTTTGTCTCTTCTGTCTCGGAGCAGACTTTGTGTGAACCTGAAGCAGCAGCACATCAATTTATAGGAACCAAATTAACTGGATGAGTATAAAGATGAAGAAAAAGAAAGGAATCAATCCTAGAGAAAAGTAGAGGAAGCCTTACTTTCGATGATCAACAATCTCTTTTATACATTTAACTCCCAATCTTATTCAAAGGTTGAACTTCTTGCTCATAAATTTTATAAATTCTAAAAGACCCAAATATTTTATGCTGTTATAGATTCCATGCCAAATAAAACAAAGTGAAATATTCAGCTGTCTCCATGGTGTCAACACTCACTCAACAACTGCTATTTAATTGCTTGATTTAAGAAATATCTTTACCAAACATGATTGGAAAGCATGGCTCACCTCTATGTTGCCCACATCCCCAATGGGTTGGCGGAAGGCATTGCTGTCATTTGCATCTCCGAGCCGATGGTTAGAGTTGAACGGTGATGATTCACTTTCTTTTCTTCTGTGTCCTGGTTCTCTCTCTTTTTTCGCTAATGCTGCCTTTAGGCTAGCAATCTACGGGGATGAAAGATTTTCATACAGAGTACATTAATTTGTGTGGAATGATTAAGATAAAAATGTTATATCGAAAGCAGAAAGGAGAAAAGGAAAGTAATACTTGTTCTTTGAGATCTTTAACATCTGCACTGTCCTTGTTCACCTGAGCTGCACCAAGTTCCACCGTGGCTACCCGCTCAGCAAATTTCAGAGTACTTATCGTTTCTCCTAGTGCATCAGGCTCGGGGCTAATGTGAACAAACATCAGTGTCTTGGCCTGCCCTCCTGAAAGAAGAATTTCATTCCGAAGCCACAATCATTTTCATGAGGAGAAAGGAACACAAAGACAGTAGATTGAAAAATGTGTTAACTTCGACCGTACCAAGTGAGTCTTGGAGCAGTTGTGTAAGTTTGCTATTTCTGTAAGGGACATGTGGATTCTTTTGGGCAAGGGAAGCGATGACATCACCCAGAGCTGATAGGGATTTGTTAATGTGCTTTGCTTCTATTAGTCTGTCTCCTGTCACCTCAGATTTGTTTACTCTCTCACTCCCAGCCAAATCAACCAGATGCATACAGCCACGGAGAATAGTTCCAGATGTCAAGTCTCTTCCTTGAACATGGACAGTCAAGCAACTGCAGTTCACAAAAATATAAAGTACAAGTCATCCACACTAGAAGGTACTGCTAAGAGACATTACAAACTGAAATCTGCGAAAGAACAAGAAGTAACCTATGCGAGCGACTGCTGCGATCATTTAGGGCTGTTGCACCCACTGCACGATTCCTATGTCCAAGGTACATCAGATCAATAACATCACATGTTGATGACACAGGAATGATGTTTGCATCTGGTACATTCAGACCTGTGTGAGAACTGTTACGAATTTCTAACGTGTCAACAATTAAGGATGGACAGCTCTACTCTTAACCCTCTATAGAATACAAATGTCCGAATGACTTCTTATTTCCTTATTAAGTAGTTTTGGCTATAGTAGTAGCTGCTCATGCAATCCAGTTCTTAACTAGCGCTTAACCAGAAAACAAACTTTGTAAAGGATATCTTTTGTTACTTCCATCAGTAACAAGGAGATCCCTGACTTGCTCATTGTAAATCTCTATCATTTGTACAGCAACATTGTAGCAGAAGGTGTCTTTCCTTTGCTCTGCAAGAAGAAACAAATCACCCAATGCCCTATAATTCACCCCTTGGTTTTTATCTGTGAGATCTTTGGGTCCTGTCTGGAAACATGAATGATGAAGTTCAGAAATTTTGCATATTTTAGTAATTAACAGCAAAAACAGTGTTTCTACATGGTGTAAGTTTTTCCCGATCCTGTTTGACCATATGCAAATATACAAACATTGTAGCCATCAAGAACGGATCGAATTAGTGGCTGCATATCAGAGAAGACCTCGGCTGCAATTCAGTGAGAGTAAGTGTAAAAAGTAGTGTCAATTAGCATTAATCAGACAAAATTCCAAATTAAGAACCAACTGACCTTGGGTAGCCAATGGTCCAAATACTTTATTGAAGCTAAAGGACTTGCATCCTTTCCCATGTTTTGATGCGGTACTAATTGTAATATTCCCATCTTCTATGGAATCCACTGTGCTCATATAGTTTGATTGTCCGGACAAAAATGGTCTCACTCGACAATATACCCGAATACTTCCTGGACAAAAATAAAACGAAGGGCATAGGTACACAATAAAGAAAAAACATGATTCCTAGTCCCTTGCGGACAACAGCAACTTACCTTTGAGGTCCTGCACTTGATTATATAGCTTGCGATTTTCTTCAAGAACCTTATGGTAGCCTGAAGCAGCATGAGCGAGACCATGGATGTGCATGCCTACGTAGAAAAAGATATGGACTCAAACCTTAGATAGAAAGAACACTTAACCGACTCTGCTACCCACACAGCCATCCCCACCCCAAAAAAGAGAAGTTTGTAGATAACCGAAATGAAAAAATCAAATTTCTTTTTTGAGTACCTACCAAGACTGTTAAACTCCTCATGAAATTTCATTTGCATAAAATGCATACCAGCTTTTGTTGTACGGATTGTGTTTTTTAATTCCTGCAGCGAAGAATAATTCGCACGAGAACTATACTTTGTTAATCCAAGAAAGAAAATAATGGAGAAGAAATTGCTAGTAGGCGTACCTGGATATCTCTTTGCTGTTGACTAAAGATAATTTGCTGTTTCTGCGTTTTATTTTTTAATTCTTCATCATCAACCAGGTTTTTATGAAAACATTCCTCTTTCTTCATCACTCTGACTTTTTTTTCATCAGTCTGCAGGATTTCAGCAACAGACAAGAAACTCTTTAGTGATTATCATACAATTATAAGCATCATAAGCTTCACCGTGGTAGTATGTTTTCATTGTCTTAATATATCTGTTGGACTTAGGAGGCCTTTTGCTATTCAGTGGATGAAGATTAAGAGATTTACCCTTTTATCACCACATGCAGATTTCAGCAAAAACTTGTTGCCCTGAGAGATGGTCATTTCTTTAGGAGCTGCCTTTACCTATAATTTACAGCACAGTAGGATAAAAAAATAGTTGCACAATTAGAAACGAACTAATTATCTTCTGTAAACTTATTCGTGTTCAATGATCGGCTGGCCTACCATATCATATTGGCTTGCTATGCGATTCTCAAATTCCTCCACAACCTTACTGAGCACTGATTCGACTAACTATTGCAAGTAGAAGGCATGTAGAATCGAAGTTAGAAGCAATATAATCAGCCGTACCAGCAGATTCTAAGGAGTGCTAGTATTTGAGCTCAAAAAATTAGGGAATTATGATTTTGAAATTGTGGGAATGTGATCAACATATCAGCAAGTAATCATTCAATACTGGGGAAGCTTGGCAGCCTCAGAATCTGAGTATAGATTTCACATAATGTTAATAAAATGCAAATGCAAATTTGCTTCTAATAATGCCCGAGAAAATAAACAGTAGCAACGGGTGCGTATATTCTTACTGTTGGAACTTCTTCAGGCTTCTTATCCAACAAAACAGCACGAACAAGCATACTCAAAGAACGAGACCCAGGCTAAAACACGAGGAAAGAGATAAAAATTTAGAAGACATAAATCTGAAGTTCAAACTGTCGGAGCAAGCAAAAGCTCAAATTTAAAACAGTTAAGCTTACCAACCATTTTATTAGAGTTTTCAAGATCACTGGACAGAGTGTTGAAAGATTTTTCATTCATTGACAAGTTTCTGGATAAGGAATTCATGAACGGTTCCGAGTTTTTTCTTACAAAAGACTTTGCTGACACTGTAGGTTTTACATTTCCACCAAATTTCCAAATCCCATTTCCACCAGTCTGTTTCCACTCATTGTATGATTTAAGTGCCAAAACAGTATTCACAACCCTTGCAGATTTTCCTCCCTAGAAATACAACAAGAGTTAGACAAATGAAGCTCTTATCTAATTCCAAGCATCTTTTGCATATAGTAAAATCACAATTGCAATTGCAGTACATACTTGTTCCAGATCAGATGCCTCAAAATTAGGAATCCCCATTTCTTGTACAGCTACAAGAAAATTCCTCACATTTTCAAAGTACTGAAATGCTGATAATGCAGCTCCATCAGGTATAAGAGCAGCATCACATGGACTCTCCACAACCTAAAATATAATTAATTAAATTAATCACCATCATCCAATAGATAGAATCAATTAAAAGTAATAATACTAGCGGTATGAATAAAATAAAATATACCTTAGGCACAGCTCCAGGTTGAACCTTATTGAGAGCATTGCAGAGAATGATTCCACTTCTCAATCCAAGCCTAAACTCTTCTTCAGATGGCTCTGCTGGCAAATCCTTACCTGCCACCACTCCTACCATCTTTCTCAACCACCCCGCAGCTTCATACCTTCTTGATGCTACCATAAGCAAAATCTCAATAAAATTAACGCTTCTCGTAGACAATTCGAAGGAAAACAACCATTCTGTTGCAAGGGAAACATAGAAGGAAACAAAAAGAAGAAATAAAAGGTACCCGCTTCTTCAGCTTTTCTAGAGTCCAAATCAAGATCTCTGAGCCTATTGCCATGCTGTTGCAGCACATCCTCCACGACCGACGCCACAGAAAATGACAATGCTCCTCCTTCAACAGCCATGTCGTAAGAAATCCCTGCAACGTACTATATATTTCCGCCTTCTTCTCTCACAATTCCACCATCAAAATGCTTCAATTTGAGCCTGTTGGAGCTAAAACAAATTGAAAAAAGGAAAATTGGAGAAGAAAGAGAGAGATGGAAGAGGAAGGGTGGAGGATATTTTTATTTTCTTAGGAAGTTAGTTTGATGCTAGAACATCTAGAGATATATCACATTCATTCTCCATGAGCTTTTGCCTTTTCTCTTTCTTCCTTCTTCTACCTAGAAAAGCTAATAAATTATCTCTTCCTTTTTATGACTTTGCTTCATATATAGCATCAGTAGTATTCATTTCAGTATACTCTCTCTCTCTCTCTACCCACTCCGTCTCTCCTAAGCTACCCCTCCCCCCGTGCCTGTCTCCGAACCTCGTGGCTTCTCCAGCATACCATCCCAGCCAACGTGCTTCAGGTGCTTTTTTCCCGGCGCGTGCGTTCAGAATGTTTTTGATTTAAAAATAAATTAAAATTAATAGTTTTTAGATTTCTTAGGTGATTTTAATATAAGAATTAAAAAATAAGAAAAATCATTTTTAATATATTCTCAATGCCAAATATACGCCCTGCACCCGTGCTCAAAACACCATCACGGCAGCAATTTTTTAAAACTGATTTTGAACTCTACTCTTAAAATCCTCTTGAAATTAGTTCTAAATGAAACTGAAAAAAAAAAAACATCTTTATATATGAATCTCTGTTTTAGTAATTTTATGACCAAATCTTTATATAATTTTTATTCGAGATACATGTAAGTTTACGTTAATTTGAATATCAACGTTAAAAATAAAAAGAAATAGTGGGTAAAATAGGATTATGATGACGGAAATTATTGCTCAATCTAAGTTGTCGTGTTGTTATAATGAATAGTTATGGATATCCTTCAATTGGGATTCATAATTAACAAAAAAAAAAGAATATGGTTTTTTTTGTTTTTTTATTAATTTATTTTAATCTCATTATTTGGATCATGAATTTAGTAAGTAAATCTAAGCTGACTTGATTTTTATTATTTTAGTGAGTCTTTGGAAATGCAAGTGAACCCATATTTAAAAAAAAATATTTTTTTAATATTTTGAATTATTTTGATACGCTAATATTGAAAATAATTTTTATAAAATAAAAAAATTATTTTGATACATTTCGAAATGAAAAACACTTTGAAAAGCAACCACAACCGTATTTCCAAACAAACATTTCAAGTTTATTATGCTAACTCGAGTTGACTCGAATCAGATGAAAAACATTTTGAAAAACAACCGTAACCGTACTCGCAAACAGACATTTCAAGTTTATTATGCTAACTTGAGTTAACTCGAATTAATTTTTTATTTCTTTTTACCTACATCTTTTTGTATTTAACTGTCTAATAATTAAGCTATATTATTTTTTCTCTTTTGAATTTTTTTTTCCAAGTTATCATGTTTTTTTCTTTATTTGATTCTTTTATTATGCTTACCTGTTTCTCTAATTTTTTTTTTCAAGTTTTACTTTTCAACATGGTATTGATTTGAGAATTAAACTTTATAATTTTATTTAATTTATTTTATATGATGTTATTAAAGTTTCATAACCAAGTCATAAATTTAATAGGCTAACTCAAGTTGATTTTTTTCGTTTTTATCATTTTTCAATACTGATTTTTATGTTTTTAATTTTATTTTTTGATATTTAATTTTCTAGGAATTAAATTTTAGATTTTTTTATTTTGTTATCAAATAAGATTACAGATAACATAAATTTAATTAAGCACTCAGCAGCATTATTGTTCGATCCATGCGCCCGCTGTCACTTCGAGGCTCACTCATGAAATATTAGACAAATGTTAAAAACAAAATAAAAATTAAAGGCTATTATTAAAAAAGAAAAAAAACAACTTAAATAAGAAAGCTGCAATTTTACTTCACATTATAGAATGTTTGAATATTCTGTTATGTCAAATGCAATTCACATAATGCTTCTTTAGGGTGCAAGAACTTTGCGCCCAGCTCGGTGAGATACCAAACGCAATAACCCCGTACGGCTCCCAGCAGCAGCTTTGCCCACAAAGTCATGCTTTTAGGTGTGATGGATAATATAATAATGGTCAGTGGTTATTTTTTATTTTAAAAAATTATTTATATATTAGTATATTAAAATAATCTAAAAAAATTAAAAAATAATGTAAAATAAAAAAATAATTTTTTTTTAAAACACAACTCAGAAAAAAACCAAGACTTCACAAAATAATTCAAGGTTACTTGCCTTCAGGTAGACCTTTCAGCTCGGAGTCACTTTGTGGTGCACCACCATGCAAAGGAAGATTAGGCCAGCAAATTTCTATTCCTGCCTTGTGAATTTGGCAGTAGAGCATTTTGCCTAGTGATTAAGAAACTGTTTGCAAACGTGGAGCGACGCGGTTCTATTTATGTTTTTTTAAAAAATAATTTTTTTATTAAAATTTAATATGATTTGTATATTTTGAATTATTTTGATGTATTAATATTAAAAATAATTTTTAAAAAATAAAAAAAATTATTTATATATATTACAACATGAAAAATTACGAGAGGGGGACTTTTGTTGTAGTCAAGCGCGAGCAAGTAAAAAGTTGAAAAGCAACCAATTCCAGATGCCGAGCACAGTCATATTTGTTACTTGCAATCGCCTCCAATTGTTAGGCAGTGCGTAATTTTCAGAGAGTGGAAGGGTTGTTGAAAACGGTTACCAACCAGTCTATATGGAGTTCATAATGATCGAAATATATAACCAAATTAATGCCACAAAGCATGCCCCATGGCCTTGGGTTCTAAGTAACTAAACCTTTGAGAATTCGTTTCCATTTTTTTTTTTTAGTTTTAATCTAATTTAACTTCACGTTAATTAGGAATTCTATTGCTCTTATGGGTTGGAATCTTACTTTGTAAATCTTGCCAAGTTAATTAAAAAAATAAAAACTTAAAAAAAATAACCATTATCTTTCAAAATAAAAACTTATGTGTGTATATATAAATAATTGTCAACTTAATTAAAAAAGTAAAAAATTAAAGAAAAGAAAGAAGTAAGCATTATCTTTTAAAATAAAAACTGATAAGAGAGGAAACTATTACTTTTTTTAGTAATTTTTTAAAATATTTGGACTAGGATTATTTTTTATGGACAGATGAGGCCTATTTCAATAATTAATAATAAAAAATATTTTTATTTTTATTTTTTTTATAGTTTGGTTGGTAATTTCTGTGATGTCAAAATCTGATGAAATTCTCATTGTCTTGACCTTAGACCTTCCAATCCGATACTCAAATCTCGCCTTGATTTAAGGTTGTCCGGCTTGGATAAAGGATGCTTTCACCCAGTTAATATTTATCCTTCTAGATTTCATGTGTGGACTTATAGTCAGAAGAGGTCATTTTAACCTTTTACATCCACCTGGATGTGTTGGCACAAACTACTGGTTGTTTAAATTAAACATCTGATTACTAAATATGATAGCACCTAGTTCTTTTTGTAAAACTAAAATATTTTTGCTGAGACAATTGTAAAAATATTTTTCTTACATATTATTTTATTTTTTGTTTTTGCGTATTATCATATTTAATTATCACATGTTTAATTTAAACAATTAATAAAAAATATCTGGAATTTCAATTTAGACCTCTACTTATATGATATGTCTAATCTTACTCCGACATACTCTATTATGTATTTTTTGAGTTCCTAAAAGCTACACATGTAAACTTTCCATGCATAAAATTTTTTTATGCACAGACAAGTTTTTCCATGCGAAGCAGATACTATTTATTATGTCAATAACATTGTTCATGATTAACATTTTCTAAAAGTCACATACATAAATTTTTCATGTATATAATTTCTTTTTATGGAGAATAGACATTATTTTTTATACAAATGATATTATTTATCACTAACATTTTCAATAATAATATGCATGACGCAACAACCATAACATAACATAATAATTAATGATCATCATAGCTAGTCAAAGATAACATACTAAGTTTTTTCACCAATGATATATTATTCTTTATTTTTATAAAAAAATTCCAAGACATGTGTGTATGAACACACTAAACTCAAAGTAAATAGGCAAAGCAATTTCTAGCTATACAAGTGTAACATACAACCATGCAAAGTTCTAGCTTACCCATAGCTAAAGCTGCTTCTTATAAATATCAGCCAAAGCTAACCATGCCATTCCAGACCCTAAATCAACCTTGCAAGGGTAAATGCCACACAAGTGCTCTATAATTTCTAGCCATTACACTCATATATTTATTCCTTATAATTTTATTTTATTTTTCTTTTTTTATATATTATTATTGTTTTATATTCTCTTATATTTATTGACTTAAGCATTATAATATCTCTTGTTCTTATAAGGGTTTGGTTTTTCAAGAACAACCTAAGCTAGAAAACAAAGGTCTGCTTTCAATAACCTAGAATGCAACCATGAAAAACCTGTATTTTATTTGAAGTCGTTTTATGAATTTCAAAACATATCATGGCATGTAAGTTTATAAAACAAGTAACTTATCTTGTATCTTTGAAATAAGATTAGATTTAATCCTTACTGTACATAAATAAAATTCACATCATGATATTCAAAGTTGTAATATATACAAAACAAGTCATAACTCGTATACTAGCACGTATAAAAATAAAATATATTAAACAAAAAAAATTAAAATAAATATTTTTTCATAAGAAATTGAGGGTGTTTATTTTAAGAATTAAACTCTATGTCTTTAAAAATAAATTGCTTGTTTATTGGTGCAAGTGATTTTTGTTGCAAGTAGTCTTCCAATTCCAACCACTTGATTTTTAAAAAATATACTTCATAGTTCTCAAATCGAAAGTGTAAATTAACTCAAAATCTCTCAAACAAAAAACTATAATCTAAGCTCTATGATAAAAAAAAAAAACCCAACAAAAAGCTAACAGAAACTTGAGACAATATAAGTTGCAAAAATAAAAAAGAGAAAGACTAGAGTTGTGTTTCAAAGTGTTCAAAACAACTTTTTTTTTACTTTTATTTATACTAATTTTTGAAACTAAAACTATGAGTATCATAATTAATTCCCTCTATTTTTCCATAATTACTTGTTATATATATAAAAAAGCCTAATAGTTTTTAACTTTAAAAACCAAACATCTTTTCATTTGAAAAAAATGTTCAATAAATGAAGAGGAATGATTGTTCAAACTCTTTAATCATAAGTTGGATATACATAAATGATTTGACAAAAGATAA